ACTTCCGGAACCAATTGCCGTCAAAACAAACCGCGTTGAAAGAAGCTCCTATTACAGCGGTGCTCAATTGACATGGGAATAATATCATGACCATATTAATAAGGAGCCTGGAATATCACTCCGTTTCGAATAAAACCAAGAAAAAAGTACCTAGCTAGAGGTCCCTCATGGTAGCTACAGTCTAATACCCTGACATTAACCATCTAACGGGAAACATCCTTGTACTGGAAAGTGTCCCATGAAATCAAGCAGAACCCAAGTGATTCATAAGCAAATTATGGTTAAAAAAAGGTTCAAAGCAAATTGAATGTAACTTACTTGCGACGGAGAGCTTTCTCCTTGTAATTTCTCTTCGAAGTAGTCATTTGAAAAGAAATCTACACACTTGGAGAAAACTATTATGCGTATTTTCCTTGAATCATGAAATCAACGGTGAAGTTTCCAATCCGAGATGCAAATCAGCATATGATTCACGACGAAGGAGGTTTGGTGCTTAGGGCTTTGTGCAAGAGAACGCGAAGCAGGGAAACTACCGGAGAACGAAGAAAGACAAGGAACGAACACGTCCCAAAATCAGCTTCCAAGTTAAAAAAAAAAAAAAAGAATTTAATCGTCTTAAAATTTATTAATAAGTAAAAAGTAGACAATAATAAATGGGAAAATCTCAAAAAAAAAACCTTCAAAGTATAGAAAATTTTAAATTGAGTTCTGGAATTGTGTAAATGACAGAAAGAATCAATGACCCAATCTATCGTTTATAAAATCAAGAAGAATTGACAACTGTGTCCTCATTTGTATTTATTCACTACAATGATTTAAGGAATCACTATAAGAGTGTAAGTGTTACCTAGATTTGTATAGAGAATAATTACTCACTTTTTCATAGTCAGGTGCCTTATTATTAACTACAACTAATCATGTAATTACTAGAACAGTGTAAGCGTTACCTAGATTCGTGTAGAAAATAACTACTCATTTTTTTGGAATCAGGTGTCTTGTTATTAACTACAGCTAATCATGTAATCACTAGAACAGTGTAAGCGTTACCTAGATTCGTGTAGAAAATAACTACTCACTTTTTCAGAGTCAGATGTCTTGTTATTAACTACAGCTAATCATGTAATCACTAGAACAATATAAGCGTTAGAGAATAACTACTTACTTTTACTTAGTCAGGACAAAGCTGTCAATTCTTCTTAATTTTACAAATGACAGATTGTGTCATTGACCCTTTCTGTCATTTGCACAATTCTAAGACCCAATCAGGAATTTCTTATATTCCAAGAGCTTTTTTTGAGATTTTTCCATAATAAATTTTAGAATAGAAAATAAGTTCAAACTAGTCACTTACTTAAGATTTTTTGGTAAGTAAATTTTTCCGTTGATATTTTGATAATTCTTCCTATAATTTTTTGAAAAAACATTTTATTTATCGTTCTATGTAATTTATATTAAATAGAGATATTATGTTTTTATATTTTTCAATCTTGTTTCTATTTTTAATCTGAATATCTGATATACACGTCAAAAAATTATAGAAATATCAAGAAGGGAGATATCTTGCAGGAGGTGAGGCATTATTTGCTTACAATGTCTCACGCGTAATGTAAACTATATTTTGATATTACTTGCTTCTACCTTTAATAGAAAAATTATTAACTAGTGTAAATAAATTAAATAAAGTAGTTAATTATAGCTAATATAGCATAATTTAAGAAAACAGAACACATGATTATACGTGATTAAATAACCAGACATGGTTGACATAAAAAACTTGATATATGCATTGTCATTTTTCTAAAACACTTATAAACAACATTAGATTAAGTGATTTGAGAAACATAATATATTGATGTTTTATATTTATGATAAATTCAGTTCCTGTGCCAGAGATTAAAGGAGTATTATTTTTACACGAAAATATGAATATCCTCGCCCGGGGGAATTAACAGTTAGTCTCACTCATGTCTTCAGCAAAAAGGTTAAACTTATTGGTGTCTACATACACAGAATATATGGAGATATAGTACTCTTTCACTCTTAAATATAAAATTCATTTTGTAATGTAAATTACACTACAAAATCAATCTTATATTTAGAACAGGAGAAATATTTTTTTTTACCAGAACTCGCATTCATATATATGTGTACGTGTGTGTATACATATGTACGCATGTATCTCGAAGTGTTGGAAAAATAGGACTACACAGTATGGTAGTGAGATTACAGGATTTTAAAGCATGCGTGGAATGTTTGCTATATATATCCAATGGCATTAGGGGAAGCAAATAGCTTTAAGAGCAGGCAAAGCACCTTAAATAACTAATTACTTTTAACACCGGCAATCCAGGAAAGAAGCATACTGAGAATGAAGAAATGAAGACAGGAGATGGACAAGAAGAAAGGGAGGGATGAAAATAGAAGGAGGAAGAAGAAGAATAAGAAGAAAAAAAAAAAAAAAAAGAAATCATACGCAAACAAATAAAACTAACTCATTGTCTCAACTAATTGAATCCGGTGCAAGTTTAAAAACAGCGATTTGAGAGTAAATAAGCGGTGATTGTGAGGTACTACTGGTGTAGAAGTGAAAGATAAAGATTTTAAAAAAGATATTTTTAAACGTGAGTTGGTCTTATAAACAGCAGGGTCGGATTTGAGGCAATTACTTGTAGGGATGGAAAGATGAAAGACTTGTCTAGATCCTAGATCAATAAATACATTTGTGTAAGTCAAATCAAAACTTCTCGTGTATATTTATCTTATATTCTGTGGGTCCCGACTAAAAAAATTATTCACAAGTTATTACGAACAACAGTGAAGTGGTCCTGAGAGGCGGAGAATAAATGCACGGGTGTGGAGTGTTCGCCTTTACTCCAACCAACCCAACAAACAACGACCACACTTCATAGTTATCTCGTGGAAACATGATATACCTCCAACGCGATCTTTTAGAGTTTATTTGGAATAATTTATAAATAATTTTTAAATTATAAATTACAAAATATAAGATAAATATATAAGAAAAATTTTATATTGACTTGTATAAATATACTTAAAAGTATTTATAAATTGTAAATCCAAATAAGCCCTTGTGTGTAGTGGTGAGGGGTATAAGCAATGGAAGTTACCGAGTATAGATGAAGTCGCCACCTTGTTGCCGTCATCGTGATCCTCACAGTTTTTATCACCTGCTTTTGTCTTGGGTACATCTTAAGCACAGACCGACTTTTTCATGGGTTCAGCTCATATGAATTCAGGCTCATAAGTCCGGACGTCCTAAAATTGGTCATTTTCTCAAATCCGAAAAGCTCGCGTTTTTTTTTAAAAAACAAATTAGTTTCTTATATGATTATACAAACATAAAATCTCCAAATGATCACAGATAATTGAATTTAAATTATTAGACGGATTTGTTACAAAAAATAGACAGACCCACAAATGAAAATGGTCAAAATTGTAAAATTTTATTGCAAAAATTGTAATAAGGTCTCGTCTGAGAGAATTAAATATAAAAAAGTCTTTTGAAATCATCAAATTATTTTGAAATTTTAAGAGACCTCATTGCAAAGGATTTTATTTGTTTAATTACCAAACTGTTCTTATATTTTTTTAAGTATACATTGAAAATTAAAGGAACAGTTGTTAATAACTTAAGATGTAACGATTAATATATATCACAACAGGTATTAACAACACACTTTCTCAGCGTATCACAAAAATATAATACATGAATTGTCAATAACTATCATAATAGTTGTTAATCATTACACTTTAAGTTGTTAACGACTACACTTTCAATTATTAATGGATACTTAAAAAAAAGACAAGGGTAATTTAATAATCAAACAAATAGAATTCCTTACAATGATAACTTAATGATTTCAAGAGACTTTTTTGTATTTAATTATCTTATGTGAGACTTGTGAGACCTTATTATAATTTTTTCAATTTTATTCGGCTCGGCTACATGAAGAAAAATAAATAAAATAAAAAAAGAGTAAGATTCTTCATTTAGGTCGGGAGAGAAGTACAAAACTAAAATATATTAAGATATCCATAAATTTTTCCATTCAAATATGCAATAACACCATAAATTAATCAGAGACAATAATACTCGATTTTTGACATGACAATTTTTATGTTATACGAAAAGTTGGTTTTTAACCAAAAAGTTGTTCTTAACATAATTTATGTGTTATCAGTATGTTTATCTAAAAGCTATCTTGCACAGAATATAACCTATTGGTAATTAGATTCTTTATGTGGGACAATTATATAGTTTTTAATAAAAAATTGCTGAAGGGAGAAAATTGAAAACTTAAAATATTAAATATTAAATAAATATATAATATAACAAGTTGGCAATACAGATATAATATGACAAATTATAGAGGTCTCAAAAAAAAATTACAAAAAAGGTCACAATACCAAGCAACTGAGACTTCTTGTTGGTTGACTCTTAAAACTTATAAACTACCCAGTTGTTATAAGATTTTTTTGTCAATATATTCCTTCTTCTTCGAAACCTTATCATGATATTACTATGGGTTACTCGTAATACTACCTCCCGTCTTAATTATAAGATTTTATTTGTAAATTATAAACAAAATCTTATGATTAAGAACTGAAAGTAAGATAAACATGCATGACACGTGTCCCGTTTATCCTTCGCCTCCATGCTGTGATGTGCGTCCAGGCTAAAGCATCGTTAATTAATTCCACTCACCGACAATCAAAATAATTAGAACACATTGACGGATGACCCAGGAGATTGAGCGGAGTGAGCGGTCCTACCCAGTATAATTGATACAAGGCACACTACAAAATGAGTAAAATAAATTCTTGCAAATTTTCGTTGCATTAATTTGAACAAAAATGTGTGGCGACACTTGCGAGCCGCGTCCTCGAATTGCCAGCTGCCTAGAGCAACTCACATTGATGGCATCGCCAGAGAAATTAAAGCATTATATCATAAAATAGATGTTAAGTGAACCAATACTTACTACCTGCTACGAGCTCGAGGCTGAGATCAATGGCGAATCTGAACTCCGATCTGAATCGCATTATTCTGTGCACAGCCTTAATCGCTTGTTTCAGTTTCAGGCCATCACAGAGTAGTGACTCAGTCGGCTCGCACCAGACGGCAGAAAGCAGAGCAAGCTTCTTCATTTTTGGAGATTCCACTGTGGATTCTGGCAATAATAATTACATTGAAACAATCCCAGAGAACAGAGCAGATTACAAACCCTATGGCCAGAATGGATTCTTTGAAGGACCTACCGGAAGATTCTCTGATGGCCGCATTATTGTAGATTTTATAGGTACCTACCGATCACATCCATCACTCCTTTTGATTTGCTTCATTCACTGTTGCAACTGTGTCCAATTTGTGATCGAGTCACGTCAATCATGAGATAAACAAAAAGTCAACAATAAGAAACGAGTATGGATTTCTGACTTATTAAATGCGTGCTTCGAATCTAATAAGTTTGATATGTATTGCTGATTATATACAGCTGAATATGCAAATCTGCCATTGATTCCTCCGTTTTTACAACCATCTGCTGATCATACCTACGGCGTCAACTTTGCTTCTGGAGGGGCTGGTGTTCTTCCTGAGACCAATCAAGGACTGGTAAAAACGCAATTAATAATCTTCAATGATGCATTATATTTACATTTACGCGTCCTACAATTCATATATAGGTTGTGACCTTATAATTAATCAGGCGATTGATCTTGAAACACAAGTGAAAAACTTTGAGGAAGTGAGAAAGGGATTGGAAGAGAAGGTGGGAAAGGAGGGAGCCAAAGAAATATTGGGAGAAGCTGTGTATTTCATAAGCATAGGAAGCAACGATTATATGAGCGGGTATCTGGGCAATCCAAAGATGCAAGAACGCTTCACTCCCGAGCAGTACGTTGGCATGGTCATCGGCAACTTGACTCAAACAATCCAGGTAAGTCCTTGTTTCTGGATTTGGGGTGTCAACTCTTGCCAAATGTTTCTCTTATTTTATTTTATTTTTATCATTAGATTCCACGTAAAATGAGTACAATTTTGATATCTTGACTCAGTTTTCAATTTTTATAATTTTTCAAAGGAAAAATACTCCAACATTGTTGCAACTTCTTTTTTATTTAGATGCAAATTTTTTAAAAAATCATAAAAAAGATTGAAAATTAAACCATTTTTTCTCATAAGATATCAAAATTTTACTCATTTTAATTAGAATATAATGATAAAAAGAAACAAAATTCTATTGTAATTTTAATTAGTTAATGATGAGTGATTTGTTTGGATCGAAATATTCAGAGACTGTACGAGAATGGAGGGAGAAAGTTTGGGTTTTTAAGCCTGGGTCCGCTGGGGTGTTTGCCTGCCCTGAGAGCACTAAATCCTGAAGGAGGGTGTTTGGAAGCAGCTTCGGCTCTTGCGCTCGCCCACAATAATGCTCTCTCTTCTGTTCTTGCCAGCCTTCAACTTGCCCTCCCTGCCTTCTCTTACTCCGATTCCAATTTCTACGATTGGCTTCATGATCGAATCCACAACCCCGCTACTTACGGTATCTACAGTATAACTCTCTTCTCCATGTGCTTCTATAATAATCCCATCAATCAATATCTCATATCATCAACAGAAGATTTTGACATTTTAACGACGAAATATTGACCTATTCTTTCCTCCATCCTTTGGCATATCTAATTGACATCATGTACAGTTGTACACTGAATTCTTTTTTTTTTGGGTGCGGGCCATAGAATTCTAGTACATTAAACAACCACTATGAAGGTCTAGGTAGGTAACACGTGTGAAGAAAATAAAATAATTGATTGCGGTATTCTCAAAAAAAAGAGACATTTTTGTCTTTAACAGCATGTTTAGTATAGAGAAAAATCCAATAATAAAAGACGAGATCATGCTATATTTTCAAAGTGCTGAGAGCTGGCATTCTTTTTTCAATCTTTTTTTTTTTGGCATTGGTTTAACTTGCACACCAAAGGTTGGGATTTAAATATTGTGGGGTTGAATTGGAACAAGTCTTATTGATCGTATAGTGTGAAATTTCAATCTGAAAAGAAGCATGTGTTTTGAGTGAAGGATTGAAGGAAGGAGTGAAAGCGTGCTGTGGAAGTGGACCATACGGGGGCATCTTCAGCTGTGGGGGGACAAAGAAAACGACAGAGTACAGCTTATGCGACAACGTGAACGATCATGTGTGGTGGGATTCATTCCACCCAACCCAGATGATTCACCGCCAATTCGCCCTCCTTTTGTGGAGCGGCCCTACTTCCTCCGTCGCCCCCTTTAACTTGCACAGCCTCTTCACCACCAACACTAAACGCACCATCGCTGATGTCGTTGATCGCCCTCAACAAGCTCCACCACACCAATTCACATAATTATCATATATATACTATTTTCCTTTCTATTTATAAAATTTTATTTGTAGACTACAAACGAAATTTTATAATTAGAACTGAAAATAGTATAATATTACCGTGCCTTACACTCTGAAATAAAATCTTAGTCTATATACGCCCCACATGCAGTTTTGGCCGTGTATTATGGCCTGAGGACTAAATAAATAAATAATCACGCACTATTCTCATTTAAGAAGTTCAGCTTATTAATTCTATCTGCTATCCTTTTATTTATTTATTTATTTTTTTTGCATTAATATCCATGTGATTCCTAAGCGATATTTAATATTATGATCTGGGAGTTGTGGAGAGTTAAAAAAATGTTTGCAATTCTTTAGCCGAAAGTTTTGACAGTGAAAATTTATATTTATGAATGTGCGAGAGAAATGTTGATGTTAGTATTTACAAATCAATAAAAACAAATATTATTTATTATCCCTTCACAAGAAGTACGAGACTCGCACGTAGCATGCATATCCATATAGAATAAACGCAATCCGGCCAACAAAAAAAAAATAGAATAAATGCACACTGTCTACTTCGTTTAAATTATTTGAAAACTATGCTCATAATTGACATTAAAAATATTATGTTCATGATCACATAACGAAATAACTTCATCATACATTTAATATTATTTTACTATTTTTAGATTTAATTTCTTATTCTATTAGATGGGCTTATCCCTTCGGTCAAAAAGAAAAAGATGGGCTTATGATTCTTTCATATATATAGTTGTTAGCAATCCTTTAATCACGTAATGTAGGGTTTTCCTATAAATTTAATAAGCATCGCAAAACTCTTCACTCAAAATTTTCTTTGAGCATTGCAAAAAACATCCTATTTTGTGAACATGTTCCAAAAGACAAACATAGTTGTGTTATTTATTACTACCTCTGGTCTTAATTATAAGAGCTAGTTGACAAATTTAATGAAATTAAGGAAAGAAGTTAAGTTAGTTATTTATAACAAATAGGTGGTGTCTTTCCTAAAATATTCTTACTAATTAAATGTATTGATTAGAACTACTATTATTGCAAGGACTATCTTAAAAAAAATACATAAATACAAGAGACAAAGTGGATTGTGGTCTTATATTTAAGACCAAAATAAAAGTCAAGTAAGATCTTATATTAAGAACAGAGGTAGTATATAGCAGTATTATTAAATCACACACAATTTAGCAGAAAATCAATAACATCAAGATGCGAAATATCAGTAATGATTGGTTGAGTTTGGTCTCCAAACAGATGGGTTTGAAAATCGACAGAGCCAAGCAAAATAAATGCTACATCTTCGTTTGATAGAAGCGAACTAAAGGATAACATTGCTCTTGAAATGTCACTTTTAAATGCTCGCAGATAATATGGCCAAAAAAAATTGGAGAAGATAATTCTGACAATTAAAAAAAAAAAAAGGCCAGCAGATAATCGATAAGAACATCTTCCTATTATTTATTGCCGTCCTAGGTCAGGATAGTTAGAACACACAGACTTTTCACACGTATATTTTTTATTTATCTTTTGGTAAAAACCGGGGCATTCACGCGTGTATATATTTATTTATCGTACAAATAAGTATAGTTTTATAATCAAGAAGAAGCTGCGAGCTGGAAGATCTCGCTCCTTCATTTTCGAGAAGCACGGTCACAAATTATAGGTGACACCTTTCGTGTTTACGTCGGTCGTTGAATTATTAATTATTTAAATAAATAAAAATTGTTAAAAATAATCTAACCTAGTTATTGTTGCATATTACTACCTCCAGCTTTTAATATAAGACCTCGTTTGATTTTTATTTTAATCCTAATTATAAAATCCCAATCCACCTTGTCTTTCATATTTATGCATTTTTTCTAAAGTAGTCCTTTAGTAATGATAATTCTAGATAATAAACTTGATTAGTAGGGATGTTTTAGAAAAACAATACCTATTTATTATAAATAACTAACTTAACTTATTTTTTTAATCTCCTCAAATTAGTCAACTAGTTTTCGGATGGAAGGTAGTATTTTCTTTATTACGTTTGCAAAGCAAGCTAGGTAATAAATAATGTCACATGTTAGACTGTTAGAGACACGTATTTGTAGATTTGTTTTTCATTTTTTAAAATGTGTGGATGCGAAGTTGTGGTTTTGATTTGATTAATAAGGTCTTTGGATCTGAGCTTCTCCTTCGCTGAGAAAAATTTAGAAAAAAATTATTGAAATAAAGATAGAAATGAATCAGTTATTAGCTGCTATTCTTCCTGCCTCCGTTGCTTCACCCATTGTTATTCCTCCCAAATCTCTACCTTCGATTTCCCTTGGTTGATCTTCCCTTCGTACCTCTTTCAATTCCATATGTAAAGCTTCCATTTAGAAATCCTCCGCTGCTTTTCGTCTATGTGAGCATACCATTACACGTCCAAAATATTACCGGCAATTTGCAGTTTTCTTGTTGTGCTGAAAATTGTTCGATCTGTTTATTAGGATTGGCGTTGTTTGAGTGAGGATCAGCGGCTCGTGGGTTATAGCAAATAGCTGCCACAGCCACAAGCAGCAGGGGGCGGTGGTAGTGATGGTGGTGATTCTTCTAGGACATGGTGGGGGAGGAGAAGGAGCTGCGTTGATGAAGGGAGCCTGATGATTTTAACATTGTTTGGAAGATAATGCTGTATTTGAAGCAGCCTACAGTCAAGGATATGAGTTTATATTTGGGTTGTGAGCATTATGGCTCCAATTAGGTGATTCTGAATTTTGTAATTGCTTAGCTTTGCATGCCGTTTTGATATTTTCCCTGAGCCAGGGGCTCGGGGATCTGAGTTTTGAAAGAAAAAAGGAAAAAAAAAAAAAAAAGTTATGGGGTCGTCAGAGAACGAGCCTTCTCACTCTCTGTCTGTGGGAGACGAACCCTGTCCTCCAGCACATGCCTGTATGCAGAAATTTAGGCTCTATGAGACTCGATCGGTATGCCTTATCTTGATTGTCTTCTTTTCATTTTTTGGTAATCAAAGTTGTAGGTAAACTGCAATTTTTAGGGAGATCTATTTGATTTTGTCATCATCGTTATTTCACCTGAAATCATTGTGTTGTTTTATGTTTTTCTGCAAAATAGTTTTAAAGCATTGTTCATTTTTTAATTTTCAGAAGTCATTACATTCCCTTAACAGTGATTTTAGGCATGAATATCTCGTTCTGTACCATGGAAAGTTTTGTCATTGTTTTGTCTCCTGCATCTGACCAAATGTAGCACTATAGTAATACTCTCTGTAGATCATATGATTCAATGCACCTTTTATCTTGCTCATGCTAGCATAGTCAATGATGAAACATGCTTTTTGTGGGATCTTAAACGTGCCAGTGTATTTATTCTCCTATCTTCTCCGCACTCACGCATATCATTAATGACTCAACTTGCGGTGTTGAATTTTTCTAGAAAAACCATGTGTCTAGCGGGTGGTCCGATGTATTTCCCTACGTGTACTTTATTACTATCGTACTATATAAAATTTAGTTTGGCAAAGGAGGCAGAACTACTCACCTTCATGATCCTCTTTCATGTTTTGATTGAACTCTAAAAGTTTCCTTACTGGAATTTTGAACGGCTCTCTCTTCTCCAAATGCCTCTGTATGGGCCTTCTGTCTCTTTGCACGTGGAATACCAATGTGCATGATTGAGTGTTGCCTTCCATGAATCTGTGTCTCCACCAGCTCATGTTCATGCTTTAGGTTGTTTGCATTATGAATCATAATGCCACTGTCTTTCGTGCATATTAAGTTGGGTGAACCTGTTTGTCCAATATCATGGTGCAAGATTGGACAGTCAAAAACTGTAATATTTATTTTGTGAAGTATTTTTTACCTTGTGCATTGTTTATTTTCATGTCACAGAACTTTTACATGATAGGAAGGGACAAGAGCAGGACATATTGGAGAGTGCTGAAGATTGACCGTCTAGAGCCTTGTGAGCTAAACCTGTGTGAAGATTCTACAACATATACAGAAGAGCAATGTTCTGACTTGTTGAGGCGGATACATGAAGGGAACAAGTCCACAGGTGGACTGAAATTTGTTACAACTTGTTATGGAATTGTTGGTAAGTTGAGTTATGATGTCTTGCTCAGTTGTTCCTTGATAAGCTATCACTTGTTAACTTATTCAGCTTCTCTGTTCTAGGGTTCATCAAGTTTTTAGGACCATACTACATGCTGCTTATCACAAAAAGAAGGCAAATTGGTGCAATCTGTGGTCACACAGTATATGCCATATCAAAGAGTAGGATGATACCGCTCCCAAATTCTTCAGTTCAATCTAGCATTGCCGATTCTAAAAATGAAAACAGGTTGCTACAAACTCACATGTCTTGCCATTTCTTTTTTAATAGTGAAAGAACTTATGTTAAGGGAAGATCAAAATTCTAAAAGGTAGAAGGAGATAAGAAATGCTCCCAAAAAATGACTAATACCCAAAAAAGGGTACTAAAACCTAAAATTATGCATATCAAGCATAAATTATGTTAAAAATATTAGTCCAAGGGAAGCTTAACATCTCTTTGCAGTTGTTTTGATTCATTCTGAATGCTGATTATCTCTGTTATTGTATTTGACAGTTAAAAAGAGGAAAATCACTTTGGTTGTGTTTCTGCATATATGCATAGCTAATGATCTTCACAATTTCTCAACCTTTGACTGATTTTAAATTAATCCCACTTCATCTTTTTATATGCAAAGATAAGATGAAAATGAGTATTCTCATATTAACAATTGCTTATCTTCTGTTTGGCTGGATCTCATGTTAAAAGGTTCTCAGATTTGTTGATGAATTACTGGTTTTTATTAGAATTTGACAATGATGAGACAAAGTACAACTTAATGAGTAGGCAGTACTATTCTAGATGCTTTGTACTATTTTTCTAGCGGCATGTCAATTTTATTGTTACAAGCTTTGTCAGTTTTGTTTTATTTATATCTTTTTGCATTGGCATTTCAGATACAAGAAGCTCCTATGCATGGTCGACCTTACGAAGGACTTCTTTTTCAGCTACTCATACCACATTATGCGTAGTCTTCAAAACAACTTATGTCGTAATGAGACAGGTCATGTACTTTATGAGACCATGTTTGTTTGGAATGA